TGTCTGTCTTTCTCTCTCTCTCTTTCTTTTCTTCCCTTTCCTTCCCTTTTTTTCCCTCCCCTCCACTCCCCTTCTCTTCCCTTATACTTATTTTTTTGTGTCAGTACTTGAATTCAGGGACTGGGTACTGTCCCTTAGCTTTTTCATTTGAGGTTAACACTCCACCTCTTGAGCCACAGCTCCATTTATGGGAGGCTTTGGGAGGGTTGTTTGTTTTGGGGGTTTTGTTTGTTTTGCTTTGTGGGCATTTTAATTGTTTTGTTTTTGCTGGTTAATTGGAGATAAGAGTTCATGGACTTTTCCCGCTTCAATGTTGGCTTCAATCTGAAGTCCTCTGATCTTAGCCTCCTAAGTAGTTAGAATTACAAGCCTGAGCCATCACCTGACTGTGAACATACATTTTCAATTGTTTCAAATATATCCTTAGGAATGAAAGTGACCAAAGATATTTTAACATTGCAATATTAACTGAATAGGCTTTATCAAATATCTACCTGTTTATCCTTATATATCCATATGTCAATCCACTTTATTGGGGAGAGCAATTCACATTTTTTAAGTTTTCTATTTGATTTTTAAATTTTAAATTTTATTATTAGTATAAAGGTGATGTGCAGAGGGGTTACAGTTACATACCACTTTATAGTCTGACACACTTCAGAATAAATGGCAACCGTCACACCATACCCCCCCAATTCATCAGTATATCTGTTATTAACTAGAACTCATATGTTTACTTTTGTGTGCAATTGAAAGTGAAGTCTGAAATGTACTATACAATGAGCTTTAAGCAGGACTACACCTGTGAAATCCAACAAAACTTGCAGATTCAGAATGTGGTCATGCCTTAGGAGGCCTCAAGCCTCAAGTCATCTTGACCCCTGCCCCCTGCTGTGAAAAGATAGTGGTCTTCTTTCTTCCTCTTGTTGAAAATTACTTTGCTTGTTCTAGACTTCATAGAAACAAAATCATAGTGTGTACTCTTTTCTTTCCTCTGACTTTTTTCATTAGCACACTTTGTTTGGACTGCATCCATGTTTCTAAATGTAGCAATATCCAGGACTTTTTGTTGCTAAATTGGATTCTGTCTTCCTCTGGTTTGAATTAATATATCAGAGGTTGTTTATCCTTTGCCTGGTGAGGAACACTTTTCAGTTGGGGCTTTTTATCAGTAAAGTTGCCATGTTCACTAGCCTGTAAGCCTGTAAGTCTTGATGTAGATCCATGCTTTTATTTCTCTTAAGTAAATATTTAGGATTAGAACTGTGGCACATAATAAGGTATGTGTTTAATTTTACAAGCAACTGTCAGACCTTTTAAAAAACTGGTGTAGTTGTACTTTTCATGCCTACAACAACATATAAAGCTTATAAATTTCGAGGAAAAAACAAAAACACAAGTGTAAGCTGCTGCTAATTAAATTATTTTTTTAAATTTCCCCCATCCTATCTTAAAATTTTAAACATTCACATTCTGAACACCATAGTTGATAAATGGTTGCCTTGACTACAATCACAAATAAATGACTCAAAATGAGAGGAAAAATGAGCAAATAAATAAAATGAGATGCATTTTCTTTCTTTTTTTTCTTTTACCAGTCATGGTGCCTGAACTCTGGGCCTGGGCACCGTCCCTCAGCTCTTCAGCTCAAAGTGAGTGTTCTACCACTTGAGCTACACCACCACTTTCAGCTTTTTCTGCTTATGTGGTGCTAAGGAATCGAACCCAGGGCCTCATGCATGCAAGGCAAAGCACTCTACCACTGAGCCACCTTCCCAGCCCAGCCCCATTCTTTTTAATTATAGAAAATGCATCTCATTTGGGGCTGGGAAGGTGGCTCAGTGGTAGAGTGCTTGCCTTGCATGCATGAGGCCCTGGGTTCAATTCCTCAGCACCATATATGCAGAAAAAGCTGAAAGTGGCGCTGTGGTTCAAGTGGTATTGTGCTCGCCTTGAGCTGAAGAGCTGAGAGACAGTGCCCAGGCCCAAAGTTCAGGCCCCATGACTGACAAAAAAAAAAAAAAAAAGAAGACAAAGATGTCAGCTCCCATCACTTCTATCCAACTTTTATTAGAGATTCTAGGCAAGGTAACTAGGCAAGAAAAAGAAGACATCCAGATTAGAAAGGAAAAAGCAAAAACATCTCTATTTGCAGATGACATGTGATTATGTACACAAAGAATCTTAACAGTGCTCTTAGAATTAAATAACGATTTTTTTCTTTATTTTTGGTTGTGGAGGTTGAATTGAGGCCCTTGGCACTGTCAAGGCTAGTAGTGTTCTATCACTTTGAGCCACAGCTCAGTTAATTGTAGATAAGACTTTCAAGGACTTTCTCTCCAGGCAGACTTTAAACCAAATCCTCAAGATCTCAGCCTCCTGAATGGCTAGGATTAGGATTACAGGCATGAGCCTGATGAATTTTTTGGGGGGTGGGGAGTGGGGGGAGAGGGTCAGCCATGGATCTTGAACTCTGGGCCTGGATACTGTCCTTCTGCTCTTCAGCTCAAAACTAGCACTCTATCATTTGAGCCACAGTACCACTTCTGGTTTTCTGGTGGTTAACTGGAAATCGGAGTCTCATGGACTTTCCTGACAGGGCTGGCTTTGAACCCGGATCCTCAGAGCTCAGCCTCCGGAGTAGCTAAGATTACAGGCATGAGCCACCAGCTCCCAGCTCTGATGAAATTTTTTTTGGGGGGGGATCTGGTCATGGGGCCTGAACTCAGGGCCTGGGCGCTGTCCCTCAGCTCTTCAGCTCAAGGCTAGTGCTCTACCACTTGAGCCACAGCGCCACTTCTGGCTTTTTTTTTCTGTTTGCTTATGTGGTGCTGAGGAATTGAGCCCAGGGCCTCATGCATACAAGGCAAGCACTCTACCACTGAGCCACCTTCCCAGCCCTCTGATGAAATTTTTGACACTGGAGAAGTCTAGATTTCTTTGATTTAGAAATTCAGTGGCTTTCTACCAACTGAGGCTTGTGTTGTGACATTTTTTTCCTTCACACATGACAAAAATAAACCCAACTCTTTTTAGTCTACCCTCCTACCTATTCCCTCCCTAAAGTTTACTCCTGTAATTATTTTCTGGGAATTATCTACCAAGACCTCTATTTTCTACTTTCCTATCTCCTTAAAGGTTCTTCCTTGCATCTCCTTTTCTACATCATGCTGCCCTATTGCTCAGTTTGAGTATTTGCTTATTCATTTTCTGAGATAGAATCTCAATATGTTGCCAAGTCCACTCTAAAACTTTAATCTCATGCAATAGTCCCACTTCAATCTCCCCAAAATGGCCACTGTGCCTGACTCCTGTTCAGTATTTTCAAGAAGCTCTCCAGTGCCTTGCACATAGGCCAAACTCTGTTGATTGGCCTTTATGTTTGTGTATGAGTGCTTTAAGGCTAACAAGAAAAAGAAAGAAAGAAAGAAAGGAAGGAAGGGAGAGAGAGAGAGAGGGAGAGAGGGAGGGAGGGAGAGAGGGAGGAAACAGTGAAAGAACAAAAGAAAGAAGAGAGAGAGAGAGAAAGAAAAGGAAGGAAGGGCTGGGAAAGTGGCTCGGTGGTACAGTGCTTGCCTAGTATGCATGAAGCCCTGAGTTTGATTCCTCAGTACCTCATACACAGAAAAAGCTGGAAGTGGTGTTATGACTCAAGTGGTAGAGTGCTAGAAGCTCAGGGACAGTGCCCAGGCCCTGAGTTCAAGCCTCATTACCGATACTGAATCAATCAATAAAATATAGGCCTAAAAACTTGAATGCAACATGATACCAATAAATCATGTTTTGCCTGTTCTTAAAAAAAGAAAAAAGTGACATCTTGAGCTGCACCAAGTGGTTCAGTGGCCTTAGTTGGGCCCCTAGCAGAAGGAAGGAAGGAAGGAAGGAAGGAAAAGAGGGAGAGAGGGAGGGAAGGAAGCCAGCCATTGAATAATCAACCATTAGAAGGTTAATATAGTCCACAGGTCCTTTGGCTCACCGTTTCTTCTCTTGGTAAACCCTCAGAGGGGATCTTGCTCTATTGGGCTGAGGATTTGTTTAAAAAGTAGTTAGCAGCCTGGCACTGGTGGCTCATGCCTGTAATCAATCCTAGCTATTGGAAGGCTGAGAGCTGAGGATCACGATTCGATGCCAGTCCGAGCAGGAAAGTCCATGAGACTCTTATCTCCAATAAACCACCGAAAAACCAGAAGTGCCACTATGGCTCAAGTGGTAGAGCACTAGCCTTGAGCTGAGGAGCTCAGGGACAGTGTCGAGGCCCAGAGTTCAAGCCCCGCGACCCACCAAAACAAAACAAAAACCCCTAGTTAGCAATCTTCTGCTCCCCAGTTACATCCTGGCCTCCGGGCACCCAGGATCCCGGTCTAGATGCACTGTACTAATCTATAGGTTGTGGTTTGTTGTCTTTTTTCTGTTTACACCTCTGCCACCCCCCTCCACCCGCATCGCAGGACAGGGTCCCTTCCTCCTTTTCATCCCTGTGGGCCGCGTTTCCGTAATTGTCGTACAGATTCCTAGTTTCACTCCAGCTCCTTTCCACCCTCGCTCGACGTCGCCAACACAAGCTCAAAAGTGCAGGCTAAAAGCAGAGCGGTTGACGTGCGAAGGGGAGGGGTGCGTGCCCGTGTGTGGAAGTGTAGGTGCTGTGTGTGGAAGAAACCAACAGGGTCCGCCGGGGTGTCCGTCTCGTAGACTGCTCCTCACGCTAGGCCGACCGACCCAGGATCCGATCCCCAGTGCGTCTCCAGCAGACAGTGAGCTCAGTCAGGATCTCAGGAGCATCTAGGCTTTACTCGGTGCCCCAGCCCGACCGATGCCCTACCCTACGTTCACGGCACCCCCCCGCCCCGCGCCGTGGTAGCGTCCAGGAAACGTCACCCATTGTTTACAAATCAACCCCAGCCGGCAGGGCTCCGGCTCCCGCGGCTGCCAGCGCGCCGCGCTACCGCCCGGCGGCTCCGGCCTCGGCGTCCCTCCGGCCCCGGCCCCGGCCCCGGCCCCAAGCCCGCCTCTGCTGCGACCCGCCGAACCCGCGGGCAGTCGAGCCGCCAGCGACGCCCTCTGAGCCCCGTGTGCCCGGGCGGGGGGCCATGCCGTGCCGGAGGGAAGAGGAAGAGGAAGCCGGCGAGGAAGCGGAGGGGGAGGAGGAGGAGGAGGAAGACAGCTTCCTCCTGCTGGAGCAGTCGGTGACGCTGGGCGGCTCGGGCGAGGTGGACCGGCTGGTGGTCCAGATCGGCGAGACGCTGCAGCTGGAGCCGGCGCACCACAGCCCGGCCTCCCCGTGCGCGCCCCCGGGGCCTCCGCTGCAGCCCCCGCGGCCGCCCTCGGCAGCGCTGGCGGCGGACAAGGCCGGGCCCCCGGCGGTGCCGCTGCTGCTGGGGCCGGCGTCGGCCGAGACGGGGGCCCCGGCGCCCCCTGGGGCCCTGCGCTGCGCTCTCGGGGACCGAGGCCGCGTGCGGGGCCGGGCGGCGCCCTACTGCGTGGCGGAGCTCGCCGCAGGCCCCGGAGCGCTGTCCACTCTGCCCCCTCAGCCTGGCCTGGATGGGCCTCCGGGAGCTGGCAAGCAAGGCATCCCGCAGCCGTTGTCTGGGCCGTGCCGCCGAGGATGGTTCCGGAACGCCGCCTCGTCCCGCCGCCTACCACAGCGACGCGGGTCCCAGCCAGAAACCCGCACCGGAGAGGACGACCCGCACCGGCTCCTGCAGCAGCTGGTGCTCTCAGGAAACCTCATCAAGGAGGCGGTGCGCAGGCTTCATTCGCGAGGGCTACAGTTACACGCAAAGCTTCCTCAGTGCCCGCCCCCGGGGCCTCTGTCGGCCCCCGCGCACGAGCCCCCGTCGCCCCGAAGCCCTCGTCCAGCCTGCAGTGACCCTGGCGTGTCCGGGCGGAGGGCGCAGCTCCGAACTGGAGATGGCATGCTTGTCCCTGGCAGCTAACAGCCAGGGTGGCCCCGGCGCCAGCCTCTGATCGGGGGACGGGGGGAGAGGGGGAGAGGGTGCCAGAAGCTTCTCTCGAGGGCTGCAACCCAGTTCGGGCCGGTGGACAACGTGTGCTTTTTGGAAGCAGCAAACAATAATAATATAATAAGCTTAACGAAGACGGAGAACCTAAACGCGAATATTTTCATGTACAACCAAGGTTGAGGGCCAGCATCTGTTTGAAATCCGAGGACCCTGGGAACCTTGCCTGAGGCAGCTCTTAGGGCGCAGCACCCCAACCTCTCAGTCAGTAAGACTCCTTATTTGGAGTGACACAACCTGGCGGCGCGGCGCGCGGCTCTGCGCAGACTCTCCCGCTGCCAGCCCGGCGACCACGTGGCCATGTCGGGCTTCTCCGGCCGCCTCACCCCGGGACGACGGAGGGTCGTCGCCGTTTATTTATTTGACCTTTTCAGGACTGGTTCCTGAGTAGACGATAATGTAGGGAGCACCCCTAAAATGCCAGGCTTGAATATCTACCCCACTTAAAAAACTTATCTCGTGTCAATTGGGGTGGACGGGGAGGGGGAACTGCTTTTTAATACAGAACGTGGGGTACAACGAAAGGATCCCCTTGGGGTTCAACAGGAGGAACGTTTTTCTCTGTTCCATCTTTGCAACTGTTGCCATTATCAAAGTGCTGGGGAAGACTGTGCCAGGAGTGGGCATGGGAGGCGGGGACGGGGTGGGGGGAGGGCGTTGGGTGGTGGAAGGCTAAGATAATGTTTCTGAAGCCCTTCACCCCTCCTCGAGTTCAAGGTCACTGTTTGGTGGGCGCTTCTGGTGTGCTCAGGGCTCTGGCAGGAAGAGTAACCATGTCCGCTTATGCTGGTTAGAAAAAGTGTGGAGCGTCCCGAGGACACGCATGGGGAAGGGACGCGCTGGGCGCCCGAGTGACCACCGCCCCTTGTCCTACTCGGGGCTTTCACAGAAACTGCCCTGAAACGTGTCCCCGAGTCCCTCCCCCTCGGCTCTGCTGCCCTGCTCAAGTGGGTGGCGCTGGCGGATCCTGGGGGCCCCCCCGGGCAAGGGGCTAAGGAGGCACCACCACGTGATGGGCACTCCAGGGACATACAGCCTTGCATAGCAGCTTATAATGGGCTCTCCGGGGCCATTTGCAATAACAGCTGCAATTCCCTGGATAGACGGAGTTGATTTCCTCCCTCTGCCCCTCCCCCGGCCATGCCAGCTCGCCTTTGTAAGTAAAGGAAACCGAGTAGAAAATGTGACCCTCCTAACGGAGAAGCTGCAGGCTTTGCTGCGGTGACCATGGTGAAGCTGGGAAATACTGTTCTGTCTGAGCGTGCTAAGACCATTGTGTTTTAGTTTTACAGAGAGTCGGCTCAGCCTTGACTCCTCTTGCTCAGTATCCAGATGTGACTATTGACGTATCTACACTTCGCACCGGAGTGTCTGCAATTGTGGCTGTCCTGATTATAGGATTTTAACTTAACTGAGATAACTGTTTTTGAATAAATGTGTTGGAATTTTTTGTTTGTTTCCCTGGTTGGTTTTATTTTTACAGTTGCTACCAGTGGGGAAAGATGTACAGAATGCATTTCTCTGATCTCCATAAACATGAAAACACTTGAAATCCCTGTCAGCCTGGCCCTCGGATGGTAATTAGAGGCCTTTGTGTCTGAACAGCTCACTAGTTAGACTAGATCTGCACAGCTGGGTGTATGTATTGGTGCTGGCATGAAATTAAATGAAAGTGAGGTCAGGTTTGGACCAATCCCATTCAACAAAACCTCAGAGCCTTTTGGATTACTAGTCAGGGATCATGATGTTAGGAAGCTGCCTGTGACTGTGAGCTTGGCACTGCAGTCTGGAAGACACCCCCTTTTTTTCTGTTGTGACCATGGATTTGTTGATTAGGTTGCTGCTCAAGATGTGTGCCTGGCAGTAGGAAAACTGGCTGAGTGGTCACTAAAGGAGTCTTCCTCCCTCTTTGTCCTTGGCACATTTACTACCATTCTATCCATGCACCATCACAACAGCCCATCTCTACCCTCTGGTAGAACCAGGCTGGGTGGCTGAAAGTGTACCCAGTGTTTAAGTCCACTTAATGAATGGGGAGGGAACCTTGGGCAAGTTGCTCAACCACTCTGGGCTTCCGTTTCCTCCTCTGTACTGCAGGGATAATGAGATAAAGGGCACATGATGACTGGCATGTACTAGAGATGAACAGTAGCCCATACCCAATACTAGCCCTAAGAAGCCGCTTGATGGGGTCCTCAGTTTCTCAAAACAGGGTGAGCCATGATCCCCAACTTGCACTCTAGAGGGCTCTATGACTTGAGTCCTGATTATCTTACCTCCCTTTTAGAACCAATGACCTTCCCTCTCTCTGAAATACTTAGACACTGACTGTTTCTAGGAAGACCTTCAGAACACAGCAGCCAGTGGACTACCACAGGGGCTGGGGAAAATGGTCAGGCAACTTCTGCTAACATGGGAGTAGCCCTGAGGTTCTCAGCCAGGGCAATGAGCTGTGGACAGAAATCAGAGGTCAAGAGTTAGGAGTAATCCAGGGCTTTCTCCCCATTTCCAACGTGTTATCACATACACTATGCTGACTGCTTGTAATAAGAACAAGGCCATACTCAACTTTAAGACTGACAAGTACCTTCCCTTGATAAAGGAAAACTGAGCTAGGCATGGGGGTATATACCTGTAATCTCAGCACTTGGGAGACTGGGAGAGGAGGATCTGAAGCTCTGGGCTGTAGAGTAAGGCTCTGAGTCAAAAAGAAAAACAAGCCAACAAAAGCAAAATCAAAACTAATGTCCAGTATGCATGAGTCACTTGAAATACTGTAACTGTTTTTTAAAATTAATCCTGTGCACGTGTAATCCTAGCTACTCAGGAAGCTGAGATCTGAGGATCACGGTTCAAAGCCAGCCAGGGCAGGAAAGTCTGTGAGACACTAATCTCCAATAAACCACTAGAAAATCGGAAGTGGTACTGTGGCTCAAGTGGTAGACCACTATCCTTGAGCCAAAGAGCTGAGGGACAGCACCCAGGCCCAGAGTTCAAACCCATGACCAAAAAAATCCTGCCAAGGTCTACAGGTATAGCCATTTATGAAGTCAAGAGTCTAGCCATCTAGAACCTAGCTCTTTAGGCTCCCAGCTTAGGTCTAGTTCTAAAAACCACAATATCACATAGGGCCCAACATTGTTCCCTGAACAACTCTGCATATGTGTTACAATGTGAGCTGGGTGCTGGTGGCTCACGCTTCTAATCCTAGTGACTCAGGGAGCTGAGATCTGAGGACTGCAGTTCAAGGACAGCTCAGGCAAGAAAGTCTGTGAGACTCATCTCCAATTAACCACCAGAAAACGAAGTGGAGCTGAGCTGTGGCTCAAAGTGGTAGAGCACTAGCCTGAGCAGAAGAGCTCAGGGAAAGCACCCAGGCCCTGATTCAAGCCCTACCACCACCACAACCACCACCACCAACAACAACAAAAAAAACAATGTGAATGACACTGCAGTTGCACAAATCATTAGAAACCTTGAAAACTCCACCCAAGGTGCCCAGACTGAGGAGGGAATACAGGTTTATTGCATTCATTTCTTACAAAATGTGCAGCACCCAATGAAGACAGCTAGCCATAGAAGAGGGTCTAGTTGAAATAAACTAGCAAAGCTACTGACTGAATGAAAAGTAAAAGATTAAACCAAAAATGAACCAACTGGCAAATAAGTGATTTGAAGAAAACAATATCACTCCTTATAAAAGACTCCAGAGTCTGCCACCCCAAGATCTCATTCTAAATTAAACATAAGTGCTACAATATTTGAATTCGATTTTTATCCTTCTCCCACCCTTTTCCAGCTCAGAAGCAGAAACATGAAGGGAAGATCAGACACCACTTTCCTATCCAGCAAAGTCTCTGTTGAACCCTGTGATCCCTTCCTTCCAATCAGGAAAGAGTTACCTTGGCAACCAAATTACTAACTCACTCAATTAGCTCCCCCCTCTTCCACCAATGCTCAGTAATCACAGAATGTCAGCCCCGGGAGAGCAGAGGCTTCGCAGTCTGGTGCAATGGCCTCATTTAGAAATGGAAGCCCAGAGAGGTTTCCATTTGGCGGTACACTCCATTTGAACACTGCGAAAGCTGGCGCAAGCAAAGGGGAAGACCTCTTTTCCATCCATAGCTGAGGGGAGAACAAATGACCTGGCCCTAACAGTGTTTCCTGGAAGACTTAAGAGACAAGATCTGGTTGCTGCAGGCAGCCCTCCATTGCTAGCTGTGCATTTAGGGGCAAGCGCTATATAGCTCAATTAACTTTGCAAAATGGGACAGCATACAGCCTAACTTGATAATCAGGTGAAGATTAGATTAGAAATTGTATAGGAAACGAACAATGAAAATAAAACATTGCTGAAAACTATTGTGTGAAGGCCACTACTTTGAGAAAATCCTGCCAACTCTTCCTCCTCTCCCTCTCCTCTCTCTCTTTTGTTTCTCTGCGGCGAACGCCTTCTCGGCCAGCGAGGAAGAACGACCACCACACCAGGAGTCTTCTCAGATCACACTTTATTGGAGAGCCTTTTAGTTGAAGGGAGAGCTTGAGCGCAAAAGAGCGAGCAAGGAAATACAGCCGCTTATATAGGGTTTGGAACACGGGTCGCTTCAGGATTGGCTGTCCGCCTTTTGCTGTCACCAGGTGCCACGGGATTGGCTCAGGATTTACAATGATGGCGCATGCGCAAAGCTAAGGACCCGCAGTCCCGCCAAGCACTGCCTAATGTGGAGTTGTTTACCTCTAAGCTGAAAGGAGTTGGGCGCCATCTTGTAATGGCGTTTGTCCCAGCTCCCTGCAGTTCCCCCTTTTTGTTTTGGCAACAGGTAAGAGTAGAGGTCGGGCCTCTGCCTCAAAAAGAGGACCTTGCACTGGCCTTCGCCTGGGGGGCGCCTTCCCCAGTGACGACCAGGCCCGTCCGATGCCTTTTTTGCAGAGGTGGGATCTTGGGCATCAACCCACTTGCAGCCCAACGTGCTCTTCTTGGGCTTACGCCAGGAAGTGATTCCCATGTGCAGTGCGTTTGCCCAAGTGCAGTGCGTTTGCCTTACACCCTGTTCCAAGTTATCAGTCACATACCCGTCCCGGTGCAATGGGATCCCCAGATCCCTCGGGGTGCTAGGGCTATGCGAAATGATAAGGCTTAATGACCTCTCAGGGCCGACAGCCAAATTTGGGGTGAGGATCCACTCTCCAAGGCGGCTAATGCTTGCGAAATAACAACTTTGTCCCTACTGGTTTGGGCTCGAAGGCGACAGACCACGCATCCGCCCAAGCAGCAAGCTAAAAATAAACCCCACCCCCACCCATTCCTTGAACCAGGAAACAGCGGAGGAAATCCAGGACTGGAGCCCTTCCACAAATCCGGGATCCATTCGCGTTGAATTGACAATCACAATGGCAATCCGCAGCTTCTCCAGCATCTCATCAAACTCGCCAGTCCAATTACCTAAAAGATAACTGCTGTTTGAGATAAGAGCAGGATGCCTGGAGAAAGGGCAGATGCATTTTTAACCAATTGGAAGCACAAGCTCCCGTTTAGGGAAATGGATCGATTTTCTCTGATGGGCGCTTCTTCCACATCCAGTGTGAGGTACGGGAGATCCATGGTTTTGTTAAAAAGGCGGGCATCGTGCCTAACTGGCATCGGCCTCGGGAACACCGATAGGATCCCCCATCGTAGCTCTCCTTGACTGTGATAGGTCTTGACCATCAGTAATATTATCACGCTCAACGCCTTCTTGATCATCCTGTTTTTCGTCCTGAGTTTCCTTGACCAATCTTGTTAGCCGAGTTGGGACCCAATGTGGTGTTTCTTGATCCTGTGGAAAAACACAAACAGCTCCCCTGGATCTCGTAATAGCCGGATCCGGTCCATACCATTTGTTATCAATGACATCCTTCCACATAACCATGTCTTTATTGTCTGTAGAGTCTCTTGTCACATGCCAGTCTGCTGCAGACTGGTCTTTATCATTTAAAATTAAAAAATTGAGGGTAAAGAGCGCAAGGGAAAGTCTTTCCCTGGGGGACGCTGACTCAGCAATTCCCCCTTTTTGTTTTTGAAGCATTTCTTTTATGCTTCTATTGGCTCTTTGACATGTAAGGTCGACTCCAGTGGAGCCTAACCCTCCATCACCTCTCTATCTCCTTAGCAGGGAAGTTGCCGTGCAAGGAAGGCAAAACCAGAAGTTGTGCAATTCTGTCTCCGGGGGAAATAGACACTACCCCGCGGGGGACATGACAGAGGACCTTAATGGTCCCCGTATAGTCCGGGTCAATTACCCCTGGGTAAATTATTAGCCCCCTCATAGTAGAGGAGGAGCGTCCTAGAACTATTCCTACAGTGTCCTTATCCAGGGGTCCTGTCATGTCCGTCTCCACAATCTGAACTCCCATCTGTTGGGTTAATACCAGTCCGGAGGTGGCACAGAGGTCCAACCCTGCGGAGCCTGAGGTT